CCCCCCCCCCCTCATAAATTCACTGCACTACCAATGACTTTATGAACAATCTATTCCTTGCCCTCATTTCCTATATTACTTGTATTGTTGTTCACAATTACCCTTTTCCTTGGTTAACCTTCTCTTTTTGGGTGTGACTGCTCTTGCTATATTCAGTGTATAATATTTCTGATAACAAGCTATAATTTCTTAAATGCTTTATCCTCAAACAAACAGTCTCCTCATTTCGCACCCTGTCAAAATATACCTTTTGTCATTTAATATTCCTTGCCTTCCATCTTATCACAGACATTCTTTTGTTCTTCTCCACCCAAAATCCTACCTCTATTTCTGTACTCGCTTAAAACTTCTCTAATTCTTCTTTCCGATTCTGGGAATCAGACTTCAGGAAACATATGTTGTGTTCAGATGGGTATATCATTAATACACCAAAATCAGACATTGTGATTGGTTATGTAAGTAATTGCTTTGCAGGAAAAGGTAAATTTAAGAAAAGCTCACAAATCATCAACTGAAAGCCAATATATTTTTAAAGAAATAGAACGATAGAAAGAGGCCATTTGGCATAGTGTGTCTGTGCTACCGTAAAAAAAAGTTGCTCTTTCTTGCAGGTTACAATATTTCAGGTACAGATCCAGCCATTTTTTAAATGAGTTGAGAATTTCCGTAGCATAGAATGGTTTTTAGTTTTTAAAATATCTGTGACAGTGAGATATTTCTTACAAATCAGCAAGAGAATGGAAGCAGTGTATGTGATAGGGAAATGAAATTGACCTTACAAGATCACCGAAAACATACTGTTTATGGAATCTTGTGGTTTTAGTCTTTACTTAGTTTTATTTATCCAAATTAAATTTGACTACTATCACCAATCTGCTTCATAGACTATTAAACACTCTCAACTAGTATAACAGGACTCAATAATTTTGTATTATTGCATAATTTGAGTAACATAATTACTCTCAACTTTTCATACAGTAGTAATTAACACACACCATTACATTTCCTACATGGATGTGCCTTTTGAAATTAGTCTACATTAAGTTTTAGCTGCTATTCTTTAGCTTCTGAACATTGCCTCATGGCAGCAGTGTTAAATTATACACAAATAATATTGAAAAAATAATTCATTCTTGCAGGTATCTTTATGCTACATGGAATGGGACAGTCATTTTTTTTTCCCCCCCTTTTTCCCCATTGTTTTTACAGAAGGAGGCTATTTGAACCAACGTGTCTGTACGAGCTCCTGAAACAGCTATACAGCTAGTCCCACTCTCCAGCCCCATCTCCCTAGCCCTCTAACTCCATCACTTTCAAATATATATCTAGCTCTCTTTTGGAACCTCCTATGGAATCCGCCTCCACCACTCTCCCAGGCAGCGCATTCCAAATCCTAGCAGCTCTGAATAAAAAAAGTTTCTCCTCTCACTCCTAGCTCTCTTGCAGACAAATTTGAAATTGCGAACCCTAGTTACTGACATATCAACCAACGAAAACTGAATATCCTTCTTTAAACTGTGAAAATTGTTCATAACTTGAATACCTCAGTAAGGTCACCTCTTAATTTTCTCTATTGCAAGGAGAATACGCCTGATCTCTCTAACCTTCCCTTGTATCTAAAATCCGTCATTCCTGATATCATTCTAGCAAATCTCCTTTGAATGCCCTCCAGGGCTTCAACATCCTTCCTTAAATAAGGTGCCCAGAACTGAACACAAAACTCCAAATATGGTCTGACCGATGATTTGTAAAGGTGTAACATCACCTCCTTGCTTTTATAATCTATGCCTCTATTTATAAACCCAAGGCTGCAAAAGCCTTCTTATCAACTGTTTCAACTTGCCTAGCCACCTTTGGAGACTCATGCACGTTAACCCCAAGGTCCTTCTGCTCCTGTACTCATCTCAAAGATGTACCGTTGAGCCTGTATTGCCTCACTATGTTTGTTCTACCCAAATGCATTAACTCACATTTCTCTGCATTGAAATTCGCCTGATAGGTTTCTGACCATTTAGCCAACTTGTCAATCTCACTCTGACATCATTCATCCTCACAATTCACTATTCTTCCTAGTTTAGTATCATTTGTAAATTTACAGATTTTGCCTTCAACACCCACCTGCAATTCCAGCCTTAGCCTCTCTCCCACATAGGGGATATTCTTCCTGATTTTTATTGCTATTATTATTCCAGTATGCATCATATATCTCCTTTTACTTCCTTATTTTCTTATCAATATCCTTAGACATCCAGGGTACTGTAGCTTTTGATACCCTGTATTTCCTTTCATGGGGTATAATATCTAGGTTCCATCAAATGCATCTTTTTTCATCCACTGTTTTATCTACCAAAATGTGTTTCCAATCAATTGGCTCCAGTTCAGCATTTAGACCCCTAAAGTCTGCCCTTCTCCAGTCTGGGATGTTAATCATTGACTGATTTTTATATATCCTTTCCCAACTTAATATTGAACCTTATTATATTATGATCATTTCCCAAATGCTCCCCCCCAACTGTGATATCCTCCACTTAGACTGACTCACGTCAGGATTCTTCTTTAAATGAACTTTGATTTTGGCGTTCTACTTTTGAGGACCACATTTACTTTTGCAGACGTGAATGTTTCTGAAAGTGGGAGAACAATCAGTTTACGATTGCCAAAAGTAAACATGGATAATAAAAAGTAGGTAGACTAACTTAAATTGCAGAATGACAAAATTCATTCCTCATTATATGACACTTACTTCTTCATTAAAAAGCTTGCTAGTCTCTTTCTTTACAGGGTCTATAAGTTGAACCTGTCCTGCAGAGAAGCCCACAAGTAGGGAGACACTTTCTGCAGTAGCTGTCAAATGGTTGAAATCATGGCAGGTGGGCTGTGTTCCTTTGTAAATCCGCTTGTCTATAGGTTTACTTAAATCTGCAGCCTAAGAAAGAAAAAGGAATATCAATTATTTTTATTTATTTATTAGTCACTCAGGTATAAACAGACTTCAATGTATAGACTTTCTAAATTTCCAAATTTGAAAAACATTGGCATTCTAATTTTACTTCCAGAATATTACATACTTCAGCAACAAACAACATTAAAATTCCTCAAAACAAAAGCAAACTATGACAAAAATCTGAAATATCAGAGGACAGAATTAAAAACAGGTTAAAAGTTTCAGGTCAATGACATGATCTCGAATATTTCTAAATTTTGTTTCAATTCAACTTCTCTAACTCAAACGTGCTTCTAGGTAACAATTTTGGAAACAAAAAGATGAAATTCAGAAACTAGTGAAAATCACGAACAGTTATGTGGGTGAGGGAATGGGTGGGGAGAAAAGTTGATAATTGTTGAACAATTTTCTCTACTAATAACTTCTAAAAGTAATCTCATATAGCACAATAATTTTAAGATTGTTTAAATTTTATGGACTTTCATGATTTATACCTTCCCTCAAAACAAATAACTTGGAATCAAACCATATTGCCTTGTACAAACAAAATAACTTGCGTTTTCAATACTAGCTGCTTCATTTAAAAAAAAAGGCACAAGAACAAACTTCTGTATGTTTCTCTAACAATGTTTAGCCAAATAATAGGAAGCATTTATATCTACGGCATAGTAATGTGCCTAGAACTCAAACATTTGTTTCAAGGATCTCTGCTGAATGTCAAGTTCCAGGGATGCCCACTCAAACAATTCAAATTATGCTGAATAAGGTACAGTCTCAGACTGAAAAATATCAAATTTTTATTGAACAAAGTTACATAAAAATCAATACGTTTTAATTAATTTGTGCATTTGAATTTTACTGTGTTGTGTTTTCCTTCTCTTTCCCCTTTGATTATTTTTAATTTTTACTGTTACTAAGCTGTCACGTGCAGCCAACCTAAAGATTCTCTATCAGTATTACTAAATTTCCTACTGTTGCAAAGTTTGACATAGCATTTCTTGCTGCGTTCAAGAAATAATCAGAAAGTTGCTGTACAAAAAGTGAAGAATCAACTTAAAGAAATGCGAACAAAGTCCTTTAAAACTGTAATGATACTGCTGTAAAACAACTATAAAAGTATCAGACTTTGAATTTAAGATGCAAATAAGGTAAATGCCTACTTATTTTCTCCGAATAGAAGGGTTATTGTTTAAAAATTAAGATAAATGTCATTCAGGGCAATTTAGTGATCACATCAACAGATTGCACAGCTACCAGAAATTCTCTGATCTAGATCTCAAAAGATAAACACTTTGATATTCAACACATTGTATCAGTGTAAAGACACTGAAGTATTTACCAAAAGTACTTTGTACATTATCTAGAATAAAAAGGATCAATTTTATTCAATAAAAGGATAACAATCAAACGGTCCTAACAATTCAGATTCAAATAACCTTGCCCACCATCAAGAAAGTTTTGTTGATACTGTACCCAGTGTTCAATGCTAGGTATGTTGACTGCATAGAGGTATTTTGCTCCATTTCCACTTCGAGAGAGATGTAAAACAGTTCCACTTCACTGAAAAAAATCCTGCTTAAATCCTGGAACCAGCACATCATCCTAACCAGAATGGAAACTTATCAAAAGTAGTTGCAGAAACTCAGGAGAAGTTTAAAGGTAGACTCTCAAAATTATTCAATCCAAGAGGGAAACTAAATGACTTTTCATTGCAATGCAAAATATGCGCATTTTCAAAATTCATCTATTTATTGCACATACTAATTGAAGTCAAGAATCAACCTTATTGCCATAGGTCTGGAGTACACATAGGCCAGACTAAGGATAGAAGATTTCCTTTCTTAAAAAAGGGATTTTTTTTTCTCCCACATGACGCTGGCTTGACCAACATTTATTTACCCCAATTTACTTAAGAGTCAAGTACATTGCCGAGTTTGGAGTGACAAGTTGGCCAGATCAGGCAAGAATGACAGATTTTGTTCCCTAAACAAAAGTGACATGATCACAATTCGACAAGTTTGTTTTAAAGTTCAGATTTTTATTGAATTCAAATTTCACCATCTGTCATGGCACAACATCAGAAACGTATTGATTTTTATGTAACTTTGTTCAATAAAAATGTGATATTTTTTAGTCTGAGACTGTACCTTATTCGGCATAATTTGAATTGTTTGAGTGGGCATCCCTGAGGCTAGCTTTATATCCCATATCTTAGCCTCATTACAAAGTCAGACAGTGCAATGGTGAAATGGTAGAGTTGCCAGTCTAGCTGGATATCAAATGGACCAAAGGGGAATTTTCACTGAAATACTCATCACCTTGCAGCAGTTTCAAATAGAGCAGGCAATAAACACGAACTATAAACCATTGTCAAACCTAATTTTGGATTGTGTTGAAAAACATGGAGATACAAAAGATAAAAAAAGAGTTATGTTGCCATTATGTTAAAGTTGCTCCTTATTTCACCATAATTGGCAGGCTTTTCAAATTTTTAAAACTGTTTCAGCTCTGACATTTTGACTTGCAGCAAGCAAACGTAGATGATGGCTAGAATACTACTCTAAAGGTAGGACAGAAATTCACAGACCTGAAACTTTTAACAGATACTTCGTGCGAACGAAGATGGTTGCGTTTGAAGGTCAATCATGTTAGCACCAGGACATGCCCATAGGAACTCCTTGCTCCTTGGAGTGATGTCCTAGGCCCAAACATCTTCAGTTGCTTCAAAGATCCTCCCTATCCCCCCCCTCGGAAGGTCAGACCAGAGTGGGAAGAATAGCTGTTGATTGCAGAATGTTCAGCACCATCTGCAACTGTTTTGCTACTGAAGCAGTCTATGCCTAAATGCAGCAGGATCTGGACAACATTCAGACTTGGGCTGACAAGTGGCAAGTAACACTCATGTCATACAAGTGCCAGGCAAAGATCATAAAGGGGGCTCTGCTATAACACAGGTTCCTGCAAGGCGAACTGGCTATAACGCGATTCCATCGGTCCATAGAGGAGTACGCGCCAACATCAAAATTAACTGATGAAGGTCGCTACAACTTAGATCAAATTTTCAACTTGGATGAGACGGGTTTATACTGGAAGTGAATGCCATCAAGAACCGACATTTCAAATGAATGAAGCACACACTCCAGGCTTTAAGATGGCAAAGGATCGTATGACTGTGCTGCTGGATGCCAATGCCAATGCCAATGGAGAATTAAAGCTTAAGCTTGTGATGGTGTACCACTCTGCCAACCCACGAACCTTGAAAGGTTACCTTAAGTCTACTCTAGGCATCTAACTTAGGTCAAGCAAGAGAGGTTAGATGATCCGGCAATTTTTTTCTGACCTTATTGCTGACATTTTGGAAGATGTTTTTAGAAAGTATTGCAGGAAAAAAAATTTGTATTTCAAGATTCTCCTCATCCTGGATAATGTGCCAAGCTATCCTCCCACCATTGGTGAACTTTCTGCAAACATCAAAGCGCTATTTCTACACCCAAACACAATCTCTCTCCTTCAACCCATGGACTAGGATGCAACAGCAACGGTTAAAGCTTATTATTTAAGGCGCACATTTAAAAGGCTGATTGCGGCCACTGAGGGGGATAAGGACAGCGTTCTTCAATTTTGATAGGGCTTTAACATCAAGAACGCAATTGACATTATCGTGGAGGCCCAGGGTGAAATCAGATTGCATGCAGTTTGGCAGAAGCTTATCCCAGATTTTTTTCAAGATTTTAAAGGCTTTGATCCGTCAGCGAAGCTTCCAAGAATCAAAGAACATTGTGTTGATCTTGCAAAGCAAGTTGGATTTAAAGAAGTGGAGAGTGAGGATGTTAAAGAGCTGCTCGAGTCCCACAGTGAAGACCTCTCTACAGGTGATCTACAACAACTTGTCGCTGAGGGGGAAGTGAAAGCTGGAGATGAAGACAATGAAGTCTAGGATGCAGCACCACAAGAGCTTTCCACTTCTGTTTTGTCTTCTATCGTCAGGGAAATTGAGATGCAGTTGCCACGCAGAGGATAATGATCACAATGCAGAACGCAGCAAGGTAGCAGTTTATGGAATAAGATCTTCTTTGGCAGCCTCTGAACAGCTTCTTCACGAAAGAAGAAAAAAGGCAAAACAGCAAAAACTGGATGTCTTTTTTAAGTCAATCCCCAAGAAACAGTCTGAGGACAATGAACCACTGCCATCCACTTCTGGATTAACTACTTCTCGCCTGAACCCTGCAACCACAACGGCACCTGAAGGTGATAATGATGACCCACAGCTCATGCATTAACAACAGAGCAACCTCAAAACCTCGTTCCCCCATCAAGTCGTCTTGACATTTTTTCAAGGTGTTAAAATTTACTTTTATTTCATTATTAGATATGAATTACATATTTATTCAAACTGTGCTATCCTGTGTGTTAGGCTTTTGAGTGATTTCTGAGCGATTTTGAGCGATATTGTTTGATGGTCTGCCCCTAACCCTGCTTTTCCCATAGGCCCGTTATTTCTATAGCACAATTTTCCATAATGCAATATTGCACAGGAATGCAACTATAGCGTTATAGCAGACTCCCCTCTATCTAACAAGACAGAATCCAATTATTGTTCCATGATATTCAATGGCATGATCATTTCTGAATTCCCCACTATCAGTATCCTGGGGATTACCACTGAAGCTGAACTGGACCTGCTATATAAATATTGTGGCTACAACAGCAGATTGAAAGATACTTTCAAGATGCACTCCCTCCACTACCAATGCACAGTGTCAGCAATGTGTACCATCTACAAGATCGACCACAACAATCTAAGGCTCCTAAGCAAACACTTTGCAAATACATGAACTCTTCCACTTAGGAGGACAAAGCAGCAGGCACATCAGAACACCACTACTGTAAGGATCCCCGTCCAGTAAAACACCATGCATAGATAGAGGAGAAACATGACTCCTTTATTCCCTCTGCTTTCCCAATGGCTTCACCTTTG